ACTTTTGTTTAGTTTTAATTTTTTTAATAAGGTTACTCCTTATAGAGTTCATAGAACTAGGAGGAACTCCAGGCATTGCTCAATGCTTGGTTTAAAATGCTTGGTTTAACAGGCATTTGTTATACATGTCTGAGTTTTAGGAAATGCAAATGAGTTGAAAGTATACATTATATGTATTAGAGTCCATTTAAATTTTGGTGACTATAGGTGAGATTAAAAAAATTACATTGAAATCCCTTTCTGTCCCATCTCAGTTAATATCAGTGTATTAGTGTATACTTGCTTACGTCTAGTATATTGTTTTTGTTTTCAAAAAAACAATAATTCAGTATAAATTATTTACTACCTATTAAAAAGTCACTTTTGATAATTTATCAATACACTTAAATACATAGCTACATAAATGAGCTTTTATATTATCGTCTACAATTTTCTAGCCATACTATGCAGACTACCCAGTTATTCACTTTCTACTTATGTTCAATCAAACATGTAATAAGTCCTACTATATTATGTATTTTTGATTATTAAGCAATAAATAATATTCTTTGTGCTGACTTTCTCAAAGTAGTTTAGGCCATTTTTTAATCTGTAAACTCAAAATCCTTAAGGATGAGAACGGAGAGACTGGTAAAATCTCAAGGCTGAACTAGGCTGCCAAAATGAAGAAAGATAAAAATGACTCTGTACTTTCAATGTACATACGCTGGCATCGTATGCATCCATCAAGGACCTGATCATACAAACATGAAAGATCAAGTATGACATCATTGGTCTGACCAAGAACAGAAGGCATCAATCACATCACGCTGTTTTCGACACTTCGGAGAAGAACTCTTTTTCAGAACACACGACAAAAGAGGCATCAGAGGTGTTGGTGTCCTTGTCAACATGAACTTGGCCATGAGCACTGATTCATTCGAATGCCTAACAACCCATATCAGACGATTACACTTGAATAGATGTGGCTCATTGCCGGCAGTTTTTATCTTCGTTGTCTACGCATCAATATCCAATTATGATGAAGGAGAAATTGAGAAGTTCTACATGCAGATGGAGAAGTTCTATAAAGAAGAGCACACATTCTACAACATCATTGCTGGTGATTTCAATGCCAAGATAGGACCAAAAAGATCAGCTGAAGAACTCCACATCGGGACCCATGGCCTAGAATGGAACGAACAGGGTGAGAGACTGTCTTAGTTCATCATGTCGACCAAGACCATTCATGGTAACTCACAGTTCCAGAAGGCAGAATCTAAACGTTGGACATGGGAGTCTCCTGGTGGACGATTCCACAATGAAATAGACCACATCATATTCAATCGACGGTTTTGCCTGACTGATGTTGCTGTTGTCCCAAAATTCCAAATGGGATCAGACAACCATCTCCTTTGTGCAAATTTCTACTTCACGGAGAGGGGAGAAAGGGCTGCAGAGTTTAAGAAGAGAACTCCCAGAACGACCACCAACTGGGAGCACTTGGCACTATTGCAGCAATATGGGAAGATGCCGTCGTTGACAACATTGATGAGGAATACAATCAACTAATTCAGCACCTCCATGATTGTGTGAGGAATGCCAAGAGAGAGATTGCAACAACAACAACAACAAAAGCCTGCCTTTGAAAACTCTTCAGTTTCTTCACCAAAGTGGCTTGGCGCAAGCCTCAGGAAATCGCAAACGCAAGTGAGTGTCTGAGCTCTCAAAGCAGTGCAGAGAAGCGATCAAGGAAGACCCCAAAGAAGGAAGACCCCAAAGAGAGAAGAGCAGCAGTGCTGGCAGATGCAGCAGAGGCCAGGAAAAACATTTGCAATGCCTGCCTGTCCTTCGCCAAATACAAGATCAAGATAATTGCCCTCCGATGTCTTGATGGATCTATCACATCTTCCAGAAGAGCAATGGAGAAGACTATCCATGACTTCTACTCAGATCTCTTTGTTAGCCGCGTCCACCTGCTCACACACCAAATTCTGCAGGATGGATATGTTGTTCCAACATTCTCCTTTCCGAAATCCGACACGCCATTTTGACAGTAAAGAAACAAACAGCACCTGGCCCAGACAAGGTCAGACCTGAACACCCGAAGAACCTGCCATCACTACATATTAATACACTGGCTTGGCTCTTCGCACGCTATCTGTCTGAATGCAAGGTTCCATCCCAATGCAAAATGAGCAGGACTGTAAAAGAAGGGAGACATTCACAACATTGGCAACTATTGCCTGATTTGCCTGTTGTCTCTCATCTACATGTTGTTCACTCAAGTCATCCTGAATAGGATTGGCAGAATACTGGATGAAGAAAAACCAAGCAAGCAAGGCAATTTCTGAAAAGGATTTAGAACAACTGACCATATCCACAAGATAACCAAGCTTATTGAGGTTTCTCTGGAGTTCAAGATGCCGCTCTGTCTAACATTCATTGATTTAATAAGGCCTTTGGTTCTGTTGAGATGGAAGCAATCATCGAAGCCCTAGCCAAACAGGGTGTTCAAACTCAATACATTAGGTTCCTCCATAAGCTGTTTTAAGGGTTCACTACCAGGATCTCACCATTCTACAAAGAATTGATCATCCCTGTCAAGAAAGGGGTTCATCAGGGGGATACTATTTCACCAAAACCCTTCAGCGCCATCCTCGAGAACATCATGCCATGACTGAAATGGGAAGGAATGGGAGTGAAGATAGATGGTTGGCAACTACACCACCTCCGGTTCACTGATCACATCGTTCTAATAACACCAAACATTAGCCAAGCAGCACAAATGTTGGCTTCCTTCGACCCTGAATGTAAAAAGGTTGGACTACAGGTGAATGTCACAAAGACAATGTTTAGAAAAAACAGTCTTGTTCCTGACATTCCATTTGCTCGCAACGGAACAACCATCTCTGAATGCAACAGTTATGTGCACCTAGGTCAAGAATTCAACATGGCGAATGACCTGACACCTGAGTTGCACAGGAGGAAGACAGCAGCTTGGAACGCCTTCAAGAGCATCGAAGAAATAGCTAAGAGAACAAAGAACCTCCGGCTCTGGGCATATCTCTTCGATTCCATTGTTTTTCCTGTATTAATATACGTCTCAGAGACCTGGGCCCTATGAAAACAAGATGAGAATGCTGTTCAGGTCTCCCAAAGAGGAATGGAGAGAGCTATGCTTGGAGTATCAAGTTTCACTCAAATGAGAGAAAGAATTCAGAGTTCCGACTTCAGTCATTGGTCAAGAATCAGGGACGCTGTCTCATTTGCCAATGCGTTGAAAATCAGATGGGGTGGACACGTAATGAGATTTGGAGACGACCGCTGGACTAGAGCCATTACCGCCTGGATTCCATGGAACGTCAAAAGACCAACAAGATGGTCAGACTTCTTCATCAACCCTGAACGATCGGTTTGAGGTTCTTCATGTTCCTAAAACTAGCAGACACCATTGGGCTATAGTTGCACGCAACAGGGACAAATGGAGACGTTACTGGAGCTCGTTTGAGCAAATCAATGAGTAATGGGATATCAAATAATCTCAAAATAAATTAAACAACCTTCAATTATTTAAAGTGACTTCTTTCCTCTAATTTGAAATTATATCAGGTTGTGCCATTTTTATATTTACTGGATTAGTGTTTTCCTTTTTTTTGCTGAAAATCTTTCAAATTGTTTAATGGTGACATAGGAAAAGAGAATGGAAAATAAGCCTCTTCTCCTGGCACTAGTAAAGATTGCATGTAATTTGTTCACCCTTTGTATATATCTAAAGGTTAGTCCTTTTTAGAATGTTCATATTACCTTCTATTGCTATCTATTCCTAAACCGGAACTTCTTGACTCTTGCTGACAATTTTGAATTCTATTTTTCCTACTATTCTCCAAACTTTATTGCCAGGCTTACTAATATTCTTGTGAACTCCGAATTAGTTCTGTATGTGAATGAACCCTTGCACTATTCCTAGTCTTTATGAAACTTTTTTACTTAGCATGATATTGTAGGCAGTCTTCTAAAAGTCCAGGATGTTCTCTATATAGCGTCATAATTGAATATCTCTATTGCCCTCACTCACCTTATTTTTCCCCTTAGATTTAACCCATAGTTCTTATATGTTGTGATTCTGAAATTTCAGGAGAAAGTTATGTGCTATGTTATCTTTATGAGACAAGAAGATTCGTATTATAATTCATTAGTTTTGGGATTCCTATTCAGACCATAAATCTATTACTATCCCTGAGTAAATATGTAGAAAATCATTTGTATGCTTTATCATAAATGTTGAGGGCTAGAGTGGTAGCACAGCGTTAGGGCGTTTGCCTTGCACGCAGCCAACATGGGCCGACCCGAGTTCGATTCCTCCGCCCCTCTCGGAGAGCCCGGCAAGCTGCCGAGAGTATCTCGCCCGCACGGCAGAGCCTGGCAAGCTCCCCGTGATGTATTCGATATGCCAGACACAGTAACAACAAAGTCTCCAATGGAGACGTTACTTGGCCCGCTCGAGCAAATCGATGATCAACGGGAGGGCCTTTACTTTACTATCATAAATGTTACTATAAAATTAAAATTATGTCTTTTTATTTTTATTTATAAACCTTTACTTTACTGTTTTTGAGTATTATACTTATATAAATATAGAATAATTTTCAAGAGCACTGTTCATAGATTTTGCTCGAGTGGGCTCAATAATGTCTCCATTGTGAGACTTGTTGTTACTGTGTTTGGCATATCGAATATGTCACGTGTAGCTTGCCAGGCTTTGCTGTGTGGGTGAGATACTCTCGGTAGCTTGCCGAGCTCTCCAAGACGGGCGGAGGAATCGAACCCAGGTCAGCCATGTCAGCCATTTTATTTTATATTAAAATAACACTGTCAAACACTGTCCTCTCGTTGTTCATTGATTTGCTTGCGGGTGCCCAGTAACATCTGCATTTTGAGACTTGTTGTTACTGTGTTTGGCGTATCAAATACATCACGGGTAGCTTGCCAGGCTTTGCCATACAGGCGAGATACTCTTGGTAGCTTGCCGAGCTCTCCGAGAGGAGTGGAGGAATCGAACCCGGCTCAGCCGAGCTGGCTGCCCACAAGGCAAATGCCCTACCGCTGTGCTATCGTTCCAGCCCTATGTTATATTAAAATAATTTTTATTAAACTGATAAGAACAGATACTGTACTTGATCTTAGCCAAAAAGCCGAGAAGCAATAGCACAGTGGGTAAGGCAAGCTACCCGTGACATGTTCGATATGCCAAACACAGTAACAAGTGTCACAATGGAGATGTTACTGGGTCCGCTCGAGAAAATCGATGAACAACGGGAGGACAGTGACAGTGACAGTGACAATTTTTTATTAATAGTAATATAAAATCTATAGAGAGGGATTTGCCTTTTTAAGATATTTTTAAATTATTTATTAATATGTTATGCTTTCTTCAAATGTATAAATGTTTTACTTAATGCATTTCTCTAAACTGTCATCAAATTTTTTTAAATTATTTATAAGTATGTTAAAATGTTTCCAGTCATTGAATATTATATTTTCTACTGGTTAGAAGTAACAGCCAAGTGGTATTTGCCATCTATTTTCTTCTTTACTACTGAATAAAATGTCACACCAAATAATGCAATGATATATATGGTTTAGAAGGGACAAAGAAAGCAGAAGCTAATTTCCAATTACTTGTAATTCAGCTAACTAGAAAAGTTATGGGAAAGTAAGCTTTTTCTGCAGCAATAATTTAATGTGCTTTCTCTATTTCTTGATCCTAGTCAACTGGTTCACATCTCCTGTTCCAGTGTCTTTTTACCTGTTTTGAGTGTTTTTGACACTGTTCTGAAAATTCCAGGAGATTCAGTCTTCTTACTGATGGTTATCTTGATGCAGACAGCTATTTTCAGTGGACAGAATGTAATTTTATTAACATTATTCACAGTAAAAGACTTCAGATGTGTTAGCATCAATGTCAGTGAGGGAAGATGTTTTTGAACATTGATCTAGAATTCACAAAAATTTTCTCTAAGCATTTACTTTCCATAATAAATAAATGTTATATTGCTAAATACCCAGGTTAATTGTTCTTCTACACTATAAATGTATAAATGTATTCAGAATTTTCTATTAGAAGTAGTTTCAGGACATAGCAGTTAGTCTAATTTTTATTATCACTTCCCTTTTGCTAACTTTGGTAACTTTTGGTTCTGTTTCTTACTTCCTTTTCTAGTCTCTCAATATAAGGATAGTTTATTTGAAACATTTCTTATTTATTAAGTTGGGCTTACAGAAATGTTGGAATGCTCAGTTGAGGTACCGCTGGGATTCGAACCCAGTATATCCTCTTTAAGAGATGGGTGCTTTAACCAATTAAACTCTAGTGATAGAACAGTGGATAGGGCATTTGCCTTGCGTGCAGCTGACCTGGGTTTGATTCTTCTGTCCCTCTCGGAGAGTCTGGCAAGCTACCAAGAGTATCCCACCCGCACAGCGGAGCCTGGCAAGCTATCCATAGCATATTTGATATGCCAAAAACAGTAAGCAAGTCTCACAATGGACATGTTACTGGTGGCTGCTGGAGCAAATCAATGAACATAGGGAGGACAACGCTATAGTAATGCACTTCCTTCTTAGTGATGCTAGTGCTATATCCAATGGAATCTGCCTAATCTCTTATTTAGCTGCTCTGCCTACACAGATTTATTTTTATTTATTATTTGATTTCTCCATCAGCCAAAGGGGTATTCAGAAGCATGTTATATAGTTTCCACATATTTGGAAATTTTACTATTTTCTTTTTGTTGTTTATTCCAGTTTGAGTATTGTGTGACTGCAAAACACATTTGATATTTTCATCTTTACATATTTATTAATATAAATAAATTATATATCTTAAAATTATTATAACAATATCATATTTGAATTAAACTATTTAATCTATTAAACTAAAAGTCAGAGAAACAATCAAAGTAACAAAGGCAATGGGATCCTAGAAATCTGTATCACCAGATGACAATGCAGTCACTAGTAAAAGCTTATAACATTTGAGATGAGGCCCCTGTTTCAGGTTAGACTTCCAATCTGGCAAGAGTTATTTTTTTTTCATTAACTGATATAAAAGAAATGAGGAAACCAAGTGATCTGAGAGTAGATTATTCTATTTTGGATATTGTGTGGACATCTTAGATATTTTATTTACTAGGAAGGACAGAAGAGGCTTCAGAAGGCAGATTATTAAGCCTTATTAAGTACTCTCAAATATTTCTTTGAATTTGAGGTAAGACATAAGAGATTTAAAAAGTAAGATTCAGGAGAAAAGCCAGTTAGATATTAGAATATTCAGTGATAATATTCTAATAATGAAAAGATAAATCTGATTCACAGGATTGTGAAGATAGAATTAAATATGATTAAATTATGATATACTAAATTTTGAAAGCTTTTCTTTTTTGTGATAAAGTTTCTTTATTGTGATAAAACATGAATTACCATAAAATTTTTGTCATCTTATTTTTAATATGTGTGAAAATAGCATCTGAAGATGAAAAAGATGAGTCTTTTTAGTATTTCCCACTAATGTATTTTTTTGAAAATTTATTTATTTATTTATTGAATCACTGTGGGAAAAGTTACAAAGCTTTCAGGTTTAAGTCTCGGTCATGTAATCATCAAACACATTTCCCTTCACCAGTACTTATTTTTCACCACAAAAACCCCAATATACCCCCCCTGTCAACCCCTCCAAAAGCCTGTGAGGAAGATGAATTCTAGTTAACACTCAATCTACTTTGATTAGATTCATTGTTTCGACAAAAGATGCACCATTATTATTTAGAGTTTACACCCCAAATTCAGACCAGCTGAAAAGGCATTGTGAAATAATTTGTTTTCTACAGCTGGTTACAAGAACCAAATGATGTTGCGGCCATGTGATTTTGAATTTCTGATATTTTACTTATTAAGCCTGGAAGTATTTCTGCCGAGAGTCAGATAATTATAAGATTGGTTCCTGTGGCTCTAGAGCCATGGCCATGCTGAGAGCCTCTCGTGGGGGGCAACTCGTGACCTCGCTAGGCCATGAAGGATGAGCCGGGAATGCCCCCTTTCCCATGAGGTTTCAGTCGCCAGGGCACAACCGGCTCATACCTGGTTTTCCAAAAAGCTCTGAAGCGGCTGCCGTCTTGCTGTCCAAAGAGAAAAAGCGAAAGCTTTTCAATAAAGTTTTCTCTTCCTTTTTATATAACAATTAAACACTTTATTTAATTTAAACATTTTATCTAATTTATTTAATTAACACCTTTTATATAACAATTAAACACTTTAACACTGCATTTACTTTGAGAATTAATAGAATTGTTTTTGAATTTTTTTTTACTTTTAATTGTTAGTATTTTAGGTAAATTTAATTAAATATAAAGAGAAGAACACAATAAATTCAGGGTTTAAAAATATGAGAATTATAGACAACATGGTGATTTTTTTCAACTAAGTATATATAAAATCTATAAGCTTTTGTTTAATGTAAATAGGAATACATGATTGTCCATATTATCATGTGTATCTTGGAGATTTGAAAAATATATGATTAAATAATTGCCTAAGTGATGTTATTCTCTACATTCCTCATTAAGAATAAATTTCCGGCCGGAGTAATAGTACAGCAAGTAGAGCATTTGCCTTGCACGCAGCCAACCTGAGTTCTATTCCCAGTATCCCATATGGTCCCCCAAGCACTGCCAAGAGTAATTCCTGAGTACAGAGCCAGGAGTAAACCCTGAGCATCGCTGGGTGTGACCCAAAATAGCAAGAAAAAAAAGAAAAAAAGAATAAATTTCCCACTGAAATAAAGATAGCAACAAAAGGCTTATCAAAAGTTTTCTTGTGTTAAGGATTGCAACAGCTAAAGAAAAAACGCTACAGAAAAAAAATTGTTAATCACAGTTATAATATATGTGTTTAGAATAAACATACAATATTTCTAAGATACTATTACGATTGTACCAAATATAAAGGTGTCAGTGTAAGGTAGGTAGTGTCATTATTTGTAGTTTTAAATAAATATTACTTGAATATAGAAGTAAATACATATCACTGATCACTGTTTCAAACATAGTAGGATTTATCTGAATGAATAGGAATTGTCTTATTTTATTTTTTTTTAACACAAAATAAGATGTGTTCAGGGCTTATTACTGGTTCTGAAATCAGACATCATCCGTGGTAATGTTTGGAGGACTGCTTATATTGTTGGGGATTGAATCTGGGATCTGCTGACTAGAGAATAATGCATTCATCTTTGTATTATCTCTTCAAACTCATGCTGCTTTTTTTAAAAAAATGAATAATAGGATTCACAGTTTTATTTTTATTTTATTTTATTTGCTTTTTGGGCGGGCTGGAGTGATAGCACAGTGGGTAGGGCATTTGCCTTGCACATGGCCGACCTGGGTTCAATTCTTCCATTCCTCTTGGAGAGTCTGGCAAGCTACCGAGAGTATCTCGCCTACATGGCAGAGCCTGGCAAGCTCCTTGTGGCCTATTCCATATGCTAAAAACAGTTACAAGTTTAACAATGGAGACATTACTGGCCTGTTTGAGCAAATTGATGAATGGGAGGACAGTGTTACCATGCTTTTTGGGTCACATCTAGCAATGCTCAGGGATTACTCCTGGCGCTGTACTCAAGAGTTACTCTTAGCGGTGCTTGGGGGACCAATATATGGGATATCAGGGATTGAACCCAGGTCAGCTGTGTGCAAGGCAAATGCCCTACCCACTGTGGTATCACTCCAGCCCCTCACATTTTTTAATTTTAATTTTTAATTTAAATTTTAAGTAAGGAAAATCACAGAAAAAGCATCCAAGTAAATGCTGGTGAGAGGCAACAGACAAGTTTTCTAGTAAAAGTTAGTTATTTAATTTCAACTTCACCTGTGGTTTCAAGTAATGAATGATGTCTCAGGACATAGAAAATACTTTTAGAGAACCAGCTCTCAAAAAAGAGGCAACTTGAAAGATGTGATCAGCTATAAAAAGGCCATAAAAAGAGAAACAACATGAATCTTACCTACAGAGAATATACTAAGACCACAAGATTTTGTTCCCTCCTAAAGCAAATACTTTCAGAAGGATTTATACATTAGCTGTCAGTCTAAAATAGTAAAAGTCAGCAATTATTTATCTACCTATGAACAGAGGTCACTGAAGAAATATA